ACTACAAGGCTAATGGCCAACAGCTTATTTAAAATGAACTGGGTTGGTTGAAGAGCTAAGGGTGGTGGTGGTGGAGGAGGAGATGTAGACACCTCAGCCTCAATAAACAGTTAGCGAAAATAGTGTTTTAACCTTGAACCCGATAAAGAAGATGAGACGTTTTTCAACAGGACTTTGACATCATCACGGTGTCCCGTAGTTTCCCGCTCTTGGTGTGCGCGCTCCCGCGAGGGGTAAGCGTAGCTAGGCAGAGCACTGAACCAGCTCTGAACAAGGGGAAAGTGTTAAGTAAGATGTGACAGTTTCATAAATAAGCTGCCATGAACCGAAGTCTCGGCTCTACACACGCCCCACATTTTTGCCCATTTCTGGATTAGGCGGGAGTTATACACTGCTAAAATGGCGACGGTGGAGGCGCTACTCAGCTTCAAAAGTGCTCCTCAGAAACCTATGGGTGACGTCATGTAGCTGGATGAGAAGGACGTTTCTTAATACCTCATGGAAAACACATGTTGGAGCAGTGGAGTATGAAAGAGAAAGACGAAAAAAAGCCAGGAGGACAGTAACGCGGCAGCAGTTGCTGACAGTTCATCAGAATATCAGCATGAAACAGAGACACAGAGCCACAGCCCGGAGACAGACACCTGTTCAACTGCACCACCCCCATCTCCACTTCAACTCCACACCAATACGGAGCAGAGACCCTGTGGCGGGTAGGTTACCAGTTCTTTACCTATTTCAACCATAACTTGCTCTTAGCTAACTATTTCAACCATAAGTTAATTTTTCTGACTGTTTCGACCATTAGCTGAGGGACTTTTTTCATACAATAAAGTTCATTGATTTAAATGAATGGCTAAATAACAACAACATAATGTCCAGGCAGTGTTTTTCTCTGGCAGTAAAGCATTGGCAGGGCATTAGGGGGGCTCCCAGGGTTTGTGTCCTGTCCATATACTGTTTTGTCTGTTGTTTCAAAACCAAAGAATACATTTATTTTTCAGACTACTCACATATAAGGTCAGTCTGTCTGTTTCTATCCTATTAAGTCCCTAAAAGCTTAGAAGTCCATAGACATTGGCAGGCTACTTTATGTTATGGTATTTTATTAACAACTTGTATGTTTTTCTACAGTCATGTCTTGGGCTGAATGCTATACAATAAATCATTTTGTCATTATTTTGATAGATATTGTGATATCCGTCATGATAGTTAGAGTCGTCATTGTTTCATTTTTACTGCAAAAAATATAAAAATGATGATGATGTGATTTTTGTTGGGTTTGTACCTAACAAGCCTTTACATCTGGAGAATATGATTTGTAGGTCGGGGCGTCTCTGTAGCATCACAATGCTTCATTTATGGTCTGTTGTTGTGACTCATTTTACCTTTAAGAAAAAATTGCAGCTCCTGTAATTTGGATATTGAACTTGACCATATTGTGGTTTCTATAATATTTCCATTAATTGTTCAGGCCTATTCATGTCCTTAACCTTTGTGTTGTATGGCTTGTGTGTCAAATGTGTGTGACCATGTTACTAAGCCTGAACTTGCAACTGCATGTTTTAACATTTTATCAAGACCAACTTAATGATTGTTACAATATCTATTATCTACTGTTCATTGTGTCTCTGTCTTGGTGGCATCGTTATACAGACTGTGCTGAAATGGTTTGTTGTTTCTGTTTCCTGTTGCTCTGCGTGGTTTGTGTTCTGTCTTGAGAACATATAAATAGAATATAAAAATGATGAACATGTGATGAATAGATTTAAAAACATTAGTGATGGTATTAAAATAGAGTGAAATAAAAATGAGATGAAATAGATGACAAACACAATGGTCCACAGGTGCATGTTTTAATAGATAATATTCTTCTGTAGGGTTGCAACTGTTTTGGTTTTACTTGACATTACATTATTCACAGCACTTTGAGGACTTTGAGAAAGAAAATACGGGACAAATTTCGTCCCGTACTGATTCAAATCCACCGAGTACCGAGAAAACAAGTACTAGATATTTGTCGGGAGGCGTTACAACATTTGACGGAGGCCGCCACCTCGCAATTCTCTGTGCAGGGTTTTTCCTGCACAGAGAATTGCGTGTGTGTGTGTGTGTGTGTGTGTGTGTGTGTGTGTTATCTCACAGTCAGTGTTACTGGTTTCCCTCTCAGACTGACTGAAGTCCTGAAGATGAGGGTTTGTGTGGAGGAAGAGGAGGACAGAGCACAGTCTCCAGGATCCATCTGTCTGTCGATGAAGAGTGACTGGTCCAAACATGACCCTCCAGACTTCAGTACTGAACCTGGACTCTCAGACTCACAGTAAGAGACCTGCTACAGACCTGTGAACCTCCAAACTGTCTCTGTAACAGTGTTCAGTGTGTTGAGCTGCTGCAGTCGACGTCACTGGAACAGAAAATAATTTCTTCCTGGTTCTTCTGTCTCATCAGTGTGTTGATACTGGCTGCTTGTTTCTTGTGAAATGATCTGATCAAAGATCATATTTTTCCTGCAGCTGATGAACATGACTGATTTACAGAGTTCAGTAATTAAAGGGCCGTGGTGGAGGAGAGAAGCAGCTACAGAAGGAGGGAGCAGTGTGTTGGTGAACCTTGATGAGCTGGATCTAACAGAGTTCAGAGACTTTGCAAGATGAAGACTTTTACAGGCTGAATGATGAGCTTCACTGTGCACAGTTAGTCTGTTTGGTAGAAACTACAGTGAGCAGCTGTTTCAGAAAGTGGCAGAGTTTTTTAAACATGAGCCTCCTCTCACCTTTGTATCACTCTGCTTCTCTAGAGCTGATGTGAGACAGGTCATCAACAGCTGGAGACCGACACATTTAATGACTGACTGACACAATAGTGTTTATGGATGCTGGTGTGTTGCTTCCATCCTTCAGTACAGTGTGTGGTGCTGGATGGTGACGTCAGTGTAGACTTCCCACAATGCAGGGCTGTCACTGACAACTATTTTTCTATAGATTAGTCCATCGACTATTTTTCCAATTAGTCAATCAATCTTAATGATTAATGTTCCTCCAGAAAATCTAAATGACTCACTAGTACAGTCAGTCAACGTAGAAGGAGCCAGATTCAGGGCTAAACATTTGCTCAAACACTTATTCAATGTTAATTCTAAGGCAGCAGATGATTTGAAAATAAATATATGGCGGTTAATAGTGACTTTTTTACTTTTTAATACATTTGTAAACATGTCTTGAATTCTGTTTTGACTTTGTCATTATGGAGAATTGAGGGAAGACCGATGAGGGAAAATTAATTTAAATGATTGTGGCATAAAACTAAAACACTAGTGAAGACGTCAGAAGACTTTCTGAACTCTAATGGGAGAATAAACCACAGACAGACTCAGGTGATTTCCTGTAACTGCAGAGAGGAGGAGCAGATGAAAGTGTTCAAAGTTCGGGTGTTCAGAGTTCAGATGCCATTTTAACTGTCGGAGCAGAAGGAGGGAAACTGAAGACTGAGGCAGGTGAGTGTTTAAACATTATTATTATTTCACTGTCAAAGTCTCAGAGTCAGTTTGTCCCTGTGGAGGGAAGAAGAGTCACAGTGAACTTCTGTCCACACAAAGACACTGAGAGGAGAGGAGGGAACAACATGAGGTGTGGCACTTCCAGTTCACTGCGTCACAATCATCAGTTTGACTTGACACTGTAATGAGCTGAATAATACACATGAAAACTGAGCAGGGTTATTATACTGTACACTCTGTTAAAGTGTGTGTGTGTGTCTCATCTCACAGTCAGTGTTACTGGTTTCCCTCTCAGACTGACTGAAGTCCTGAAGATGAGTGTTTGTGTGGAGGAAGAGGAGGACAGAGCAGAGTCTCCAGGATCCATCTATCCGTCGATGAAGAGAGACTGGTCCAAAGAAAAACCTCCAGACTTCAGTACTGAACCTGGACTCTCAGACTCACAGTAAGAGACCTGCTACAGACCTGTGAACCTCCAAACTGTCTCTGTAACAGTGTTCAGTGTGTTGAGCTGCTGCAGTCGACGTCACTGGAACAGAAAATAATTTCTTCCTGGTTCTTCTGTCTTATCAGTGTGTTGATACTGGCTGCTTGTTTCTTGTGAAATGATCTGATCAAAGATCAGATTTTTCCTGCAGCTGATGAACATGACTGATTTACAGAGGCCAGTAATTAAAGGGGAGTTTTTACAGATTCACGTCTTCAGCAGGAACCAATGAGCTCAGAGCTGAGAGCCACAGACAGAGGAGGGAAGAGTTGAAAGACGGAAGAACACACTGTTGTTGTCAAGAACAAAAATGAATGCTCCTTTAATGACACACCAGACTGTCTTTACCATGTGTCTGCAGATGTAACTGCCACACTGTGTGTTTGTCCACTGTGTTTGTCAGTGAAGTTGTGTCATGGACAGATGAAGCAGCAGCAGGATGTGGTGTTTGCTGTAGTCACAATAATCAGAAACACAGAGGCCTCCTTGTGTGAGATGAAGCTGAACTCAAGGGAAAGGATCAATATGGAGAAGAAGAGCAGACACATCAGCAGCTGTTTGTTTTAGTCCTGATGTTTTGTCTTCATGTCTCTTTTCCCTGGGCTGCAGGAGGAGGACTGTTGACCAGGTACATCCAGATGTTGACACAGTGGAGCTGAGGTTGAGGATACAGATGCTGAGCAGTGGCAGTTTCTGATCCTCTCCTCTCACCTTTGTATCACTCTGCTTCTCTAGAGCTGATGTGAGACAGGTCATCAACAGCTGGAGACCGACACATTTAATGACTGACTGACACAACAGTGTTTATGGATGCTGGTGTGTTGCTTCCATCCTTCAGTGCAGTGTGTGGTGCTGGATGGTGACGTCAGTGTAGACTTCCCACAATGCCTCTGTAATCAGAGAATTGATCAGTGATCGATGTGAAATGAATAAAAACATGTTTGTGTTTGCAGAGGTCAGAACCACAGACTGAGAGCAGAGTCTCCAGGATCCATCTGTCCGTCTATGAAGAGTGATGGGTCCAAAGAGCTTAATCCTCCAGTCTTCAGTGATGAACCTGGACCCTCAGACTCACAGTAAGAGACTGTTTCTACTGTAAACTGAGCTGAAGATGATTCAGTTATTAGAAACGTGAAGGAAACAGGGAGAAACCAGGAGCCACATCCATAAAACTCTGTGTAGGTTCACAACCAAACCTCAGAGACAGAAACATGCACACACACTCTTTTCATCAGATTTATAAAGCACAGCGTTTCTTTCTCTTTTCCTTCTTTCTTTTCTTCTTATAGCACCAATTCACAACTGAAGTTATCTCAAGGCACTTTCCAAATAGAGCAGGTCTAGACCTTCTCTTTATAATATTATTTACAGAGACCCAACAATTCGTCCTCATGTTACTGTTTCATCAACCTCAGTCAGTGTGAGAGTTGGTGCACCAACACCAGCCTGATCGCCACCTCCACAGTTCCCATAGATGGATTCAGACACGCCCACAATCAGCTGATTTCATAAAAACAGCTGTGTGTGCTCCACCAGTCTGTAGACCTGTCAGTGAACAGAAGGACAGAGAAGAAACACAGTGTCTCCATGTTGGAGGTGACACTTTAATGATTTACACGTCTGAGCCTTGAAGCTGAAGTCACAGTAAAGATTCAAGCAGCAGATACAGAGACACTTTTATTTTGAAAAGGACCAGGTCTTCATTCAGCTCTCCACTCGTCTTCCTCTACTTTCTCTCTCTCTCCTCCTCTGGTCTCTGCCCTCAGGCTGGCTCATGTTACTGAAGCCCCGCCCTCTTGAGGTTGCAAACCAATCAGAACACAGATGTCGACCTGTGACAGTGACATGTTAGTGATAAAGAAATGTCTTCACAGAGAGAAGAGGAGAGGTGTCTCTGTGGAGGAGCAGCTGTCCAGCTGTGCTCTGTGTCAGGACGTCCTGAAGGATCCAGTCTCTACCAGCTGTGGACACTGGTTCTGCAGAAAGTGCTTCACCTCATACTGGGACCAGTCTGGTTCTTCAGGAGACTCCTCCTGTCCCCAGTGTGGACAAAGACCCAGAACAAGACCTGGACTGCAGACAGCCAGTCAGACCAGCACTGAACAAAGTGAGACTGAACATCTGTATGATGATGTCATCATTCTGAAACCAGGACCTGTTGTTTTATACAGAGTCATTTGTTACATCACACAGCATCGACATTTAAGATGATTATAAATACCACAACATTAAAATCTTTTCTTTGTTGTCTTTAGTTTTTCTGCAGCTGATGAAAATAATCATCAGATTCTCAGATTCTCTTTCTTCAGTCTGACGTTGTCTCTTCTCTTTCAGCAGATAGTGGTCTGCAGGAGGTTTTAGATCAACATAAGATCAGTCTGAGGAGCAGATGTGAACATGTGACTGAAGGAACTGATGGAACAGGAAGTGGAACCCTCCTCAACAGGATCTACACTGAGCTCCACATCACAGAGGGACAGAGTGAAGAGGTTAATACCCAACATGAGGTGAGGCAGCTGGAGACAACTTCCAAGATGGAGACCCTCCATGACGCTCCAATCAGGTGCCACGACATCTTTAAAGTCTTACCTGACCAACAGAGAGAAGACGTCTCTAAAGTCTTACCTGACCAACAGAGAGAAGACGTCTCTAAAGTCTCACCTGACCAACAGAGAGAAGACGTCTCTAAAGTCTCACCTGACCAACAGAGACCCATCAGAGTGGTTCTGACCAATGGCATCGCTGGCGTTGGAAAAACCTTCTCAGTGCAGAAGTTCTCTCTGGACTGGGCAGAGGGCTCGGAGAACCAAGATGTCAGTCTGCTGGTTCTGCTTTCGTTCAGGGAGCTGAACCTGATCAGAGATCAGCAGTACAGTCTTCTCAGGCTGCTCCATGTTTTCCATCCAACATTACAGAAGGTCACAGCAGAGCAGCTCGCTGTCTGTAAAGTTCTGTTCATCTTTGACGGCCTGGATGAAAGCAGACTGTCACTGGATTTCAACAACAGGGAGGTTGTGTCTGATGTCACACAGGAGTCATCAGTCAACGTGCTGCTGACAAACCTCATCAGGGGGAATCTGCTTCCCTCGGCTCTCGTCTGGATAACTTCCAGACCTGCGGCGGCCAATCAGATCCCTCCTACATGTGTGGACAGGGTAACAGAAGTACGAGGCTTCACTGACGCCCAGAAGGAGGAGTACTTCAGGAGGAGATCCAGTGATGAAGAGCTGTCCAGCAGAATCATCTCACACATCAAGACGTCCAGGAGCCTCCACATCATGTGTCAAGTCCCAGTCTTCTGCTGGATCACTGCTACAGTTCTGGAGCACATGTTGACCACAGACCAGAGAGGAGAGCTGCCCCAGACCCTGACTGACCTGTTCTCACACTTCCTGCTGGTTCAGACACAGAGGAAGAAGAACAAGTACCATGAGGGACGTGAGACGAGTCCACAGGAGCTGACGGAGGCTGACGGGGAAGTTCTTCTGAAGCTGGGGAGGCTGGCGTTTGAACATCTGGAGAAAGGAAACATCATGTTCTACCAAGAAGACCTGGAGCAGTGTGGTCTCGATGTCACAGAGGCCTCGGTGTACTCAGGACTTTGTACTGAGATCTTCAGAAGAGAGAGTGTGATCTTCCAGAAAACAGTCTACTGCTTTGTTCATCTGAGCGTTCAGGAGTTTCTGGCTGCAGTCTACATGTTCCACTGTTACACCAACAGGAAGACAGAGGTCCTGGAGAACTTCCTGGGGAAACAACATGTTGATTTAACCCTGGATGTCTTCCTGAGGGCAGCCATGGAGAAATCCCTCAAAAGTAAAAATGGTCACCTGGACCTGTTTGTCCGCTTCCTTCATGGCCTCTCTCTGGAGTCCAACCAGAGACTCTTAGGAGGTCTGCTGGGTCAGACAGAGAACAGTCCAGAAACCATCCAGAGAGCCATCAACAACCTGAAGAAGATGAACAGAGATGATATCTCTCCTGACAGAAGCATCAACATCTTCCACTGTCTGATGGAGATGAAGGATCACTCAGTTCATCAGGAGATCCAAGAGTTCCTGAAGTCAGAGAACAGATCAAAGAAGAGACTCTCTGAGATCCACTGCTCAGCTCTGGCCTACATGCTGCAGATGTCAGAGGAGGTTCTGGAGGAGTTGGACCTGAAGAAGTACAACACATCATGGGAGGGACGACGGAGACTGATCCCAGCTGTGAGGAACTGCAGAAAGGCTGGGTGAGTCCAGACATGATCATTATAATTATTGATCAGTGGATTAGATTAGTGGTTGAATCAAGTTCAGATAAACACAGTTTTCATTTCTTCTCATGAAGTTGTGTTTTTTTCTGGAGGTGTTGTAAAAGCTGTGAGCTCCAACATGTAGATTCTTCAGTTGGTTGTGATTTCCATCCATTTTCTTCCGCTTATCCTCTAGTAGGGTCGCGGGGGGGCTGGAGCCTATCCCAGCATCTTTTCGGGCGAGAGGCGGGGTACACCCTTGACAGGTCGCCAGTCCATCGCAAGGCAAACACATAGAGACAGACAACCATTCACACTCACAGCCACACCTATGGTCAATTTAGAGTATCCAATTAGCCTAGTCCCCATTTGCATGTCTTTGGACTGTGGGAGGAAGCCGGAGTACCTGGAGAGAACCCACATAGGCACGGGGAGAACATGCAAACTCCACACAGAAAGATCCCGTGTCTGAGCCGGGACTCAAACCCGGAACCTTCTTGCTGTGAGGCGACAGCGCTAACCACTTTACCACCGTGCAGCCCTTTGGTTGTGATTGTTGCTGTTAAATGAATTAAAACAGTCATTTTGTTTATTTGTATTAATTATTAGATGCTTCATTTATTTGTTCTGTGTTGTTTTGACTTTTGGTTTTATTCAAACCTGATGAAACAAATTAAAGCAGGACTCCACTGATCTTACACCTCAGTGTGTTTCCAGGTGTTTCCAGGTGTTGGTTAGTACGACTGCACATGGTGTGTGTGTGTGTGTGTGATTGTGAGTGATGTGATTGTGTGTGTTGTGTGGTTGTGTGTGTGTACACAGGGAAAACTGCGCTGATTGTGCTTTGCCTTCATTGGTAGAGTCAGGCATTTTCACAACAGCCTTGAACTAGCGGTGGAATTCGTTTGACCATTTGGCTCAAAGTCGCGTCTTTAACTCGATTCTCGCCCCTCAGTCAGACGGACTTTGCTGGTTGACTAAAGAGTTGAAGCATGCCCCTCAGTTGTGCAGCAGAGGAATTTGCACGGCGGTTATGTGTTTGGATTTGGTGTACCTCAGTATCAGAGATTTGGCCGAGAAATGTAGTCTTTTCATTGATATTGAGAGGCGGCACGCGATGCGAGGAGGGAGGACACAAGAAAGGGCTGGGCGTTTGCATTCGATGGGAAGGCGACTTAATTTTAAACATGTTACTCCTTCCTTTTTTTTTTTTCTTTTTTTCACTCTTCCTCCACTTGAAGTAAGAGAAACAGCCAGTTTTTGATTGCATTACCTAAGTGATTTCTCCTACCTTTCTAGATGTATTACTAATCTCCAACGTTTCCTGTTCCTGTCATTCTCGTTTTACCTCCCTGACAGCTGATCTCCTCCCTCTCTCTCTCCACAGTATCAAGAATAAGAGACCCTAACTACTAGAATGGAGGTCGAGACATTACAGAGGAGATTATTGTTCACTCAGGTGCTAGGGCAGCTCCAACTGCCAACGTGCATACATACACACACACACACTCAAGACACAGGGGAGCTATAAAACCCGCTGGACACCCCAACCGAAACACAGTTAACACAGCGATCTGTTGCCCAGCATTTAATGTTAAGCTTAAATTAGTTAGAGTGACAACACAGAAAGTATTGTCAGATCCGTGCAGTGGAGACGGGATCAAGTGGTTTACCAACACTTATTCATTCAAATTAGCACACAGCGTGACGGGTGTAGTTCACCAATGGGTGTCTTTCTATAAGTTGTCAGGCATCAAAAACCGTTCTCTTATACTTTCTTCAGTTTAAATGTCAAGCATTAGAACCTTTGAATGGCCACTTCTAAAACAAGATTTCATTCAATGGGAAGCTGCTATCACCACGACAGAAAGATCGGAGCTCCAACACGGAACGAACCAACGCGTGATTCCCAGCTTCTTCGCTCCATACACCACTGTCTCACTTCTTACTACAAAGACCACCTCGACTCCCCCCCCCCCCCCCTCCCCTCCGTTCAAGTTGGAAAAAACAAAAGTCTGCTCATCCCTTGTCTACTCACTGTGTTTGACATGAAACAATTAATCCTCATACACTCTCTCAGACCTGCAGATTTAATGTGAATCTTTTTTGCAGAAATGAAGGACGGAAAATGACGTCACGTTTATTACGTTCTATCATGGTTGAGCTTTGAATCCCAGTAGTCAGAATGGAAGGACATTTTTTCAGAAGAACTATTTACTGGTCCACTGAGAAAAGTTGTGTTTTTTAAACTCTCCGATGAAGCGAGTTTTCGTTCTGAGTCTCATGCTCCACGTCGAACCATCATCAATCTAATCTGTTTTGCTAAAGCGGTTATGTCTCACAGACTGTCATACAAGTGTAACCCTACAACTTGACGAGTGATTGATTTCCTTTGTGTGTGTATTGTTCGTTATAGAGACCGACCAACATCCATCCGCACCTTGATTCTGATATTACTCCAGATGCACTGTGTCTCCATGTTCTTTGGAAGTTCTCTGAACATTTTTCCTGATGAATCCAGAGAGCTTAACACCATCAGCAAACACGATTAGATTGAATTAGTGTTCACTGAGCTGAACTCAGAAGAAAATGTTCTGGAGTTCAGTTTAAATAACCAGTGGACAGTAAAATGTGTTCTTCTGAACAACATGTCTTTCATTCTACTCTGGATCAAACCACATGATGAAGAATAAAAAAACGTGACGTCATTCATTCCCTTCTGCTCTCATCTTGCAAACAAAGATTCACATTAAAAACCTCTGCAGGTCTGAGGAGAGTGGATGCAGGATTATGTTGCTCATGTCATCAGGACACACGCCTGAGAAGAAGATGAGCTGTAACCCAGCATGTGAAGGCAGCAGATGTCTTCATCTACATCATTCATGTTATGATCATCATATGCACTCCACTGGTATGTGTTTATTACAAATTCAATTCTGATTTTATTCTAACAACTATCTTTA